ATATATATATATACATACATATGATAAATATAGAGATAATCAGAGATAATAAAAAAATATCAGTTTTATCGAAAATATATACCTGTTCCTTCAGTTTCCTACGTAATTTATCAATTTTCTTCCGTTGTTTTCTAATATGGTCACGCAATTTATATATGAACGTTATAACATGAGGCAAACTATGTAACTCATCTGTAAAATCTTCTTCAAAGTCTGATACAATTTCTCCTTCTTCACTTTCACTGTGCATTTTTTACCTTCGTTTACCTATAATATATTACTGTTGGTAATCGTTTAGTTTAGCATACACAATCACAAAAATTGACAAAAAATATATCAATCGACGCGTTTTTTCGTGAAACGAACGAATCTAGTCGAAAAAAGTGTCTTTGGCCTGCGAACCGAGATATTAATCGTTAAAATTGACAACTATTGAGGTTAGGAAATCAATCACAGCCGCGAAATACTACAATGTAAGCACGCTCTGTAATCACATTTTCATGACTACATGCGTAAGGCTTTTACTAACTTGCTTCTATAGCGATATATTAATGTTTATTAATATTCAGATCATTCATCGTTCATTGAGTTTACAACTACAACTTTCTACGTCCAATATTTCCAATTTCCACACATTTCCACATAATCCACATAAGACGCGTGCGACGGACGACCGGGGAGAAGGAGAGGGAAGAGAGAGGAGTGGGAGAAACCCTCCGCAATCACTAAAGGCTTAAAATTCTCCTTTTCCGTAAAATGGGAGGAACGCTACATGAAATTGCGCCTTTTAGGCTAGAATCCCATGAAGTGTATTTATTGCGTAATCAATCAGAAGCGATCCGCTGTTGCGGTTTCATATTTTACTGATTACTAATTGGTTACGCGATACGCGGCAAATATGCCTCATGGGACACCACCTTAAAGGTAAATTTTCACGAGCTACTCTAATCACTGAACTATATATACACTAAAATGGGCATTGAGAAAAATTTGTAGCCACAATTGGTCAGCCGTCATTTTAATTGGGACGATACTTCAGCGAATCAGAAATGTTCGCGCGTGCGCTGCGATCGATGTATGGAAATTTATATGAACATGAATGGTATGTAAACGAAAATAATGTCACTTCAATTTTATAGTACATTCAATAAAATAACATTAATAACACGTTTCATATCCTACATCGTTAATACATGTATAGGAATTGATATATTTAATAACAAAAATTCTTGATGAAATGAAATATCCTTTTTACTTTTCTGCCCACACCCAGGCACACAGCACTTCATGTTGATGCTTTGCACATTTTACAATCACGTGATTTTATAATCTTTCAAAGTAATCTTTCAAATATAACTCCACACACAATGATTTTACTGACATGATTTTGCGTCTCACTAAAGCTGCGTTTTACTTAATACTCGCAACGTTCGCGAGCATCGTTTGTCCTTGTTTACATTTGATAAACGACAAGGATAAAATGATTCCTGAGCGTGTGAGCGTTAAGTGAAACGCAGCCTAAAGAACATTAAACGTAAGTGCGCATGAGCACCTGAAAGCTTCTGATTCGCTTTTATATTGACCAAATTAAAATAGTACTAATGAATTGATGCCACGATTTTCTATGCGTCACAGCGGAGATGCCCATTTCAGTGTACATATAGTTCAGTGAATCTAACCGGCCGTTTCAACGGATCACGTGATCAAATGGATGTTTGATATTTATCAATTTTGAACACGTGATCTTTTTTGTCGCTGAAACAATTGGTTTGAGCAGCTCGTGAAAATTTACCTTAACGGTACATTTGCGATGATTTCAACACCAATTCGATGTCGATTCGATGTTTAATTGATGATTTCTTGTGTGCTGGGTAATTAACAATTTATTCATAAAGAATAAAATAAACTGTATGTTTCTTAAAATTATATGTATACATCAAAAAGATGTATATTAATTATAGAAAATATATTATCTGAAAAATAAGCAAAAATAAAAAATTCTATTATTTGGATGCTCAAAAAGTATTCGTACAGTCGAGAAATTTAGCTTAAATCAGGAATACAATGCGAAGCTTGTTTGTTTATGTTAGAATAGAATATATTCATTGTATAAAATTGCTAATTAATGTTTATTTTTTACAAATAAAACTTTTATAAAAAATTTTCTTGTAGGAATACTTTTTGCTCTCACTATTTTATGCGTTAACGAATAACGATGACATGTTCTTTTATCTTATTTATATATTTTTATGAACTTGTATATCAATTTACAATGCAGAAGTAACAATTATTTTCAGCGCTTTTCAATACAGCAAACATACTACATGTACGCAGTATATTTTGCAAAAGTAAATTAAAATTTTCTAGTTTTACTTTTTTGATTGTTTTTTCTTAAACCGAGTAATCGCAATCTTTTCCAATATTGTTTTGTATTTGGATCTAATTCTTCCAAAGGTAGAGGAGGGCCAGTTCTAATATTCCACAACCAACTAGGGTATTCAGAATCTGGCTTTAACTCGATGTCTATTCCTCCTTCTTTATAAATATTTGTACCACATACATGAGTTAAAAGCCTGTTAACATCAGTTTCAACGGGCAATATTTTTTTTTCTATCACAACTAACTTCTTTAATTTCTTCATTCCTGGCCGGGTAGCTATAAAAAGAAAAAAGAGATATTATTTATTTTCTTGCAATTTTGTTTTCAATCTAATGCAATCAATTTTTAATACAACGATTGTGTGTATAGCACAATTGTGTTAGGCAAATTATCATTACGGTCATGATGACACAACCATTAATGTAGATAATGTGATAATGATAAACCATCATTATCGATCGATATTTCATACTGTATATGCACGTATTGTTTTACACGTCTCGATCCAAAAGCATACATATATGTATTATATGTATACCTCAATGATTGTATAATCGCATGTATAATAATCGATATGTATAACCACATAATTTATGTATACTTCTAGATATCTAGATTATATATACAGGACCCCTGGTTTCTTGAAAAGAACCGTATACGAAAAAGTATACAGTATGTTTTATGTATGCCATCGACGAGAACTATTATTAAAAACAGCCGCAGGCTCTGGGATAAATTTTCGTGATTATATCAATTATTTTCTATTGTATAGAAAATAATTTATTTTTAAAACATGCAGAGAATTTGTACTTTTAAAGCAGAAAATTTACGTAATTAGGGCAAAAAATACTTATTCTAACCTCGTACATGTTATCCCATGTCCGTCTATGCCATCGATATGACAGATTTCCTAACCTAAACAGTCCTCACTTTAACGATTAATAACTCGGTCGAGGGGGCAGACCGACACTTCTTTTCGTCAGATTCATTCATTTCGTGCAAAAACGCGTCGAATGGGTCTTTAATTTTGTTGGTTTTTAAGGTGCTGTAGTTAAACTATATAATTATACTTGTCGATACTTTTCAAGAATAGGGGCCCAGGATTGAAGTTGAGGCTGAATCAAAGCTTAAACGTGGATATGACGAATGATGGACAAGATCGATGAAATATCAACGGTGCGACAACTTTCCATTCCTTTACCTGGTCCGGCGTATTCTCTCGTTTGGATCGTACATCGAGTCGGTATTATGGAGTTTCTTGGAAAATGGAAGAGCCGATTAACAATAACGGCGAGATTCATCGTCATGCGTAGTATGTTTTACTTAATTATAAGATCGACTTAATATTCTTGACTCTTGGTACTTGATATGTAGTACAGTGTAGTTTGTATTAGTATAGTGGGGATTGAAAAACTAGTCAGTGTGTGCTACAGTCAACTGGCTGGTATCATCGGTATCGGATTATCGTCTATCGGTGCCGTAGAAACATGCAGAACGTGTAACATGTAGAAACACAACATACGTATAGAAACACGTAGAAATTGCTGTATGTTAGTATATTATGTACAAATTCACAGGATGGAACAGTGTAGCCAACGTGACGCGAGTGTGAAATCGCATTTATGTATGTACGTACCATTTTTGTTTCAGAGATATATTTTTATCTTCTTGACATGATTCCTTTTCTCTCTGTCTGTATCCGCTTCGATACCTATATGTCGGAAACTGTCATTCTCGATTTTCTAGAGTAGAGGAGAGAATAGAATTGCAACTACACGAACAATGCAATTACACGATACATTGCGGTGTAGGTGTATGGATATACATACATCATGCATACGTACGTACGTAGTGCGCACTGCGCAATGACAAGCACTACAGTCTACAGCATTATCAGCGGTAACGATGAGTGATGACAGGGATACGTAACACAACGCGCAAAGCGAAAGTATCGCTTGTTTGTCATAGCTTGAGTTAATTACAAAATTCGCGATTAATATCCGACTAATAATTCTTCAAGTATTGCAAAGATGTGAAACGCTGCCAAATGTGTGAAATACGCGCGGATTCATTCTGTTTGATTATATAACGCCATGTAATGCCATTGAGCAACGATACTTCGGCGCGGGTAAGAGTCGTGTGAAATTCCAAGTATTATGTATTTAAATAAATGAATAACGCGTTTGAAATGATTAAGTGTAGAGAGGCTAATGTAACTCTGACACAATTTTAATTTTATCCTTTGATTGTAGAGTAGGGATAGAGTAGAATTTTTTCGGAATATACATACAGTAAAGTCTCTGCACTCTCTAACCTTTCCCTTTTTATGATAACGTTCTATATAAACGTATATACTTAATCGTCTATTGGCCGCGTTTTTGCAGACGAGAAAAGTATTATTTGATACAAAAAATAAATCGACTGCTCGAGGTAGCGTTCCAGAGGAGAATCAATTTTTGACTATAGCAGCTGCTTTACCAATATTGCCTGGTGCGCCGGTACCCCCAAAGCTGTCAAAGCGTTGTTACAATTCATTTAGGTAATTACTTTAGAGCTTTGCCAATTAACAAAATTCGGTCAGTTTTATTCCAATTACCAATCGTTTCTTCGACATTTCAATTCTTGGAAATCATTGGTTTTGTTATATATTGGTAGTTGCACTGGAACCCAATTTGAAATTGAAAATGCAGAAGCTGAAGGATGCAACGTGGTTACGTTACAATGGACAGGAGAAACGAGAACGATCGTGGCATCGAGAACTCCTGCCGAACGAGAAAAGAACCCTGACAGAATATGCCTCGATAGGCGAGGTCTGACAACATTTCCTAATGTCATTGGAGAGTCCAAATTGCGATTGATGTCTCTTCAGCATAATCTGCTAACCAAGATCGAGAGCTCCAACTTATCTCAATTGACAAAACTTGTATTTCTTGATTTGTATGATAATCAAATAGAAAAAGTATGCGATTTCGATTTTTTAGAAAATTTAAGAGTACTTTTATTAGGGAAAAATAGAATAAGAAGAATCGAAGGTTTAAAACAACTTTTGAAATTGGAAGTTTTGGATTTGCATGGCAATCAAATCCAGCAAATTACAGGCTTAGAGAACTTGTCGTCGTTAAAAGTATTAAACTTGGCAGGGAATAATATCAAAACTGTAGGATGCAATGATTTTCAAGGTTTAATTTCGTTAAAAGAATTGAATTTGCGCCGGAATAAATTAAAAAGATTGCTAGGATTTGACGAGACACCACAATTACAAAAATTATATTTAAGCAACAATGATATTCATAAGTAAGTAATTTTGACAATAAATTTTATTTACTTTTCAATAACATCTTTAATCCATTGTTAGTTGCACGTGCTTACACGTGTGTATTTATATCTACAAGTTTTATTTTGAGACATACACTTGCATGTATAACACACTTGATATAAATTATGCGCGCGCGCGCACGCATGCATTACTTTTAAATCCATAAAAGAGAGATATTCAAATGTTTTCTGATTATTCATTCTTCAAGTAAATCGTTCAGTAGAATACAGTAGAATAAATATACATGTACATATACCTATATATGTGTGTATGCGTGTGTGCGTGCGTGTGTGTGTGCGCGTGCGCGCGTGTATGTGTACGTGCATATATATAGGTCGAGTTGATTTGATGTTTCAGAATCGAAGATATGAGTAGCCTTGCAAAAGCCTTGCAAATTAAAGAAATAACAATAGATGGTAATCCAGTAACTTTAAATACTGATTATATTTCCTTTCTTGTTTCGTACTTGCCAAGTTTGCAACTTCTATCAACAATGCAAATTAGCGAACAAATTCGAAGAACAGCGATGGCTTGGAGATTTTCCAAGGAACAATCCAATTCAACATTTCTTGATCTTAGTACGCAAGTTTGTATGAGCGTACGTAGAGAAGAAGTGATATCAAATGCTAAAACAAATTGGGAATTTCTCAGAACTAAAGTCTCGCTTGACAATTCCAATAAAGTGGCGAGCAATAATGCAGGCAACAATAATATTAATATATTATTACGCACACAAAGTTCAAATAAATTCAATGCTATAAATCCAAAAAGTTTAGATAAAGCTAAAGTAAAAGGTTTTGGTAGTCTCACATCGATAAATGAAAATATGGAAGCACGAAAGATACATATAAAAAAGAGAAGCAGTTCTAGCGAGAATTTGTTCAAGTTAGAAGACACATCTAAATCATATCTTTTAGAATTTAAACTTCCACCTATACTAGGTTCGATAGTAAATAATTTAACAAGCAATAGATTGTCTAAGAATAATAAAGAAAATGACCGTAAGATGAAAGTGCTGAGTGAACATGTCGAATACGTATCGGATAGCGAGACTGACAGTTCACAGAGTCATGGAAGCTTGAAAAGTGGCTTAAAATGTCATCTATTTACTCCTACTATGTACGGTTCAGCTATAGATTATGATAAATCTATTGTCTGTAATGAATTTGCTGTAGCGAAGGATATGTCTTCGATTACCGCAACAAATTTTTATATTAATGATAATGAAAACCATGTACACGATAAGGAAGCACTTGCTGCAACTCCAAAGAATTCCTTAAAATGTCATGATGTAGTGCGAAACGAAAATACAGGCTTAAATAATAGATCGTTCCAAAATACAAAGGTATTTCATGCTCAAGATGGTCAGAATGATTACCAATCAAAATTGACCACAAGTTCTTCTGGATATTGTTCTTTGAGTTCAAAGACTAGTAGTGTAGACAGTTGTAAATCATTGTTGAGTGATTCTAGCGTTTCATCGATTACTAAAAACGCTCACAAATCTCACGAAAGTGATAAGGATCATAAAAGTAGAATTAAGAGTGCTCAAACAAAAAAGATAGTATATTATAAAAATAATAGAGCTGCAACAGCCAGAGCGAAATTTAGAGCTCTTGCTCCGTCAAGTCCGCCTCTTCAGCAAGTACCACCTAAAGAAAGGGAACAGGGTAGACCAAGATTTTTTGATTTTTTTTATCCAAACAATATATATATTCATATTATTCATATGTGTTTGTGTAAAATGAAATGTAAAATCGGACCATTTTCTAGGTGGGGATTATTTAATAGAAATCGTTGGTCGCTGCCTGAATATATACGGTCAAGGTGCTTTACGCTTTATAGATAAAACTTGGGACGTGTCAAAGGCTCAAGATGTCAACGTTGTAAAATTTAATTATGTACAATTTAATGATGTGGCAAAAATTTTAAGCAAATTAAAGAATAGATTTCCTCATGCGGAGCATTTCGTATTTAAAGAAACTAACATCAATCTTCTTGGTCAATTAAATGCCTTAGCTGAAGTACAAGGGTTGACCAGTTTAGAGATAGATGCAGGGAATCCTATTGTGTCTAAAGATTGGAAAATGTATGCTATATTTCGATTAGCTCATTGGGGACTTGCAGTTATCAATGGCAAGGAGGTATATTATATAAGATATACAAATTATAGCAAATCATTTAATGAAACATGTAAAACACGCGTTCGCACGTATCAAAAAAGATGAATTAATCATTGCCCGTTTAATTTTTTAATGGATTCTTTTTCAGGAAAATTTTGTGTGTGTGTGTGTGTGTGTGTGTGTGTGTGTGTGTGTGTGTGTGTGTGTGTGTGCGTGTGCGTGCGTGCGTACGTGCGTGCGTGTAGAGTGGGGCGGGAAGAAGAGGAATGCGGATCAATTCTTTATCTTTTATTGAAAATTAAAAGTTCTAAATATTTTTCAGATTACAGCTGAAGATGTGGAACTTGCAAATCAAGAATATACCGGTCTTATAGATATAGTAATGTGTTCACTGCCAGATTCTTTATTACAACCTTTGTTACAAAGACTTCATTTAGAGAAAGTGCAAAAACAAAGCGGGGAACAAATTACTGCCAAACAATTTCTGTTCAACTGTGACCCGGCACTTCGAAGTGTTGTTGCCAAGGAGGCGTTACAATGGAGAAAGGGAAATGTAACGCAGGTAATGAAAAAAACAAATGTTAACTATTTTTTATAACAAAATCATGTCTTATGTTTAATTGTATACTAGCTAAAATGTATAAACGATAATATTATTGCAATATACAGTGCAATTGTTTATAGGAAGATCTTATCTGGAGACACAAAGGGAAAATACATTTGCTAAATTTAATCAATCTCACTATAAATGCTATACACAAGTTACAAATCCTAGAAAAGCAATGGCCATGCATTCTGTATGAGATCGTTTCTAATACTCTATTTGATTTCTCTGAAATGGATATATATATGAAACGTTGCAGTAAAATGCTCGAAAGCGATAAATAGTATTGTACAATATCCGTGCCTTAAAGAGTTTTATATATATATATATATATATGTGTGTGTGTGTGTATATATATATATAT